GAGGAAGTGCTGAGTTTGGGGGCGGGGCTTGCTGAGAGCTCGAGAGGATGGAAGGTTAGCACTCTCCTGTGTGCGTGCCTGCGATAGCTGCTGGTTGGGAACTGCCTTTACTCTGCAGCCCAGGACCCTGTCTGCTGCAGCTGGGGTGGGAAGGGCTGGGAGCTGGGGCCTGACTGATGCAGAGTAGGGAGCGGGTGCCCAGCAGAGCTGGCCTCGATGACCTGCATGTTCCCCCTGGCAAGGGGTCCTGTCCTGAGGTCCTTTCACCTTGCTGTCATCTTCACTTGGGTTTCACCCTAGGCTCTTAGCTCAGTCACCCCTAGACCAGGGCTTGATGCTCTGGCAAGCTGGACTTGGTTCAGGGAAGGACCCAGACATCTTGAGCCTCAGGTTTCTCCTGCTGTTCTGTGTGTTCTGCTGCAGCCCAGGCCTTCCTGTCACCTTTATGTGCATCTGACTCACAAGGCTTCTCCCCAAAGTCCCATTCTTGCCTAGAACCGCTCAGGAGATCCTGATGACTCTCAGGCCTGGCTGTCTCCACTCTGGTTCCAGAGATCTTTGGAGATGTTCACTGTGTGCCCACTTTATCTCAAGGAAGAGTCTGTCTGTGTCATCTCTCTGTAGGCTTCTCAGCCTGCTAGTCCAGCTTGTCCTCTGGGCTGTCACTGGGGCCCCCAGGCAGTCTCCCCTCACAGCAGTTCCAACAAGTCAAGCTCCAGGAAGCATGTCCCCAGGATGCCTTATATTTCCTTCTGTGTTCTTTGTCACACTGTCTGAGAACATTGTCCTGCGTATGACTTGCATGGTGTCTGTCTCCCCTCGTCGCAAGTCCTCCTGTCTATGTATTCTCAGTGCCTGTCCTAGAGAAAATAGATGCCAGTAATTGTTCAGTCGGTGCCTATGTCTCCGTGTTCCTCTTCCAGCTAATTCACTCCTATTCATCTGTCGAGACCCAGTCCAGTGACTTCTCCCAGAGCTGGTTCCTACCCTGTGCTTTTCCAGATCTTCATGTGCGTGCCCAGCGCACATGGATACACACACATACACCTGCTCTGCTACTCACTGCTTTGGGTTAAAGCCCTGGGTCTTTCCTCCTCCTGCCCTGAGTTCCTGGAGGGTAGGAGGCAGTACATGGCACAGTCTGTAGTCTTTGTTTGGCTTCTAGAAATGTTTGTGTTTTAACCTATCTTTGTGGCTCATCAGTATCTTATTTGTGCTCTTGGCTGTGCGTAATATGATTTCCTCAGCCATTTGGTTGTCTCTGGCAGAGAGGACCCTGTCTTAGTCCCCCCCTTTCTGTGTCTCCACAGCCTGAGCCCAGGACAGAGCATTGTGTGCCTAGAACAGCTGGATAAAGCCTCTTGAGTCCAGGTAGTGGTCTGTGTAAGATGGGCCCTCGGCAGTTTGGGAGGCCCCTTTCATTCTGGACCAGCCATATAATTTATGAGGTCCAATGGTGGACTCTTTATTTAAAATAATCATTACAGGGGCTGGAGAGATGGCTCAGCGGTTAAGAGCACTGACTGCTTTTCCAGAGGACCCAGGTTCAATTCCCAGCATCCACATGGCAGCTTACAACTGTCTGTAACTCCAGTTCCAGGGGATCTGGAATCCTCATGCAGACATACATGCAGGCAAAACACCAATGCACATAAATTTTTTTTAAATTATTACAAATTTCAGAATAAGACTGAGGGGTGTGAAGCTCAGTGGTAGAGTGTTGGCTTAGCATGAATGGGGTGCTGGGTTTGATCCTAGCACAATTAGTCAGTCAATGGATAGATGACTCACAGACAAGAAAATCATAAAGAACTCACAAACATGTGAAAGTATCTTGGTGATGTGTGCCTGCATTCCTAGTACTTTAGGAAGTAGGATCAAGAGTTGAAGGTCAGGGGGCCTGGAGAGATGGCTCAGCAGTTAAGATCACTGGCTGTTCTTCCAGAGGACCCGGGTTCAATTCCCAGCACCCACATGGCAGTTCACAACCGTCTGTAACTCCAGTTCCAGGGGACCTGACACCTTCACACCAATGCACATACAATAAAATTAAATAAATTTTTAAAAAAAGACTTGTTTAAAAAAAAAGTTGAAAGCCAGCCTGGGCTACATGAGAACCTGTCCTTAAGAAGGAAAAAGACAGACATGGTGGCCCACACCTTTAATCCCAGCATTGGGAGGCAGAGACAGATGGATCTCTGTGAATTTGAGGCCAGCCTGCTCTACAGAGCGAGATCCAGGACAGCCAAGGCTACACAGAGAACTACTTTCTGGTGTGCAGTCATATATGCAGACAGAGCACTGTATACATAATAAGTAAATAAATAAATCTTAAAACAAAAAAAAGGAAGAGAAAAAGAGAGAAGAAAGAAGGAAGGGCGGAAGGAAGGAAGGAAAAGAAAGAAACAAATAGAAAGAAAGAAAGAAAGAAAGAAAGAAAGAAAGAAAGAAAGAAAGAAAGAAAGAAAGGAGTCTAGCACATAATCTCAACACTTTAGACACACTAGGGTTAAAGGAAGAAAGATTACGGGAATGAAGACCGTCTGGGTTATGAGACCCTGAGGAAGGAGCGAGGAAGGAAGGGAGCTTGACCTAAGACAGTGTTGGCCAGGGCTGGGGAAAAGGCTCAGTGAATACAAGTGCTTTCTCTGCAAGCCTGAGGACCTCAGCTCAGATCCCCAGCAACCGTGGAAAGGCCAGTGGGGCCATACACATCTACATCTGTGCAGACAAGTGGGCTCCCGGGCTAGTCAGTCTAGCAAATATCAGCAAGCTCCAGGTTCAGGGAAAGACTGTCTCAAAAAAATAAAGGGAGAAAAAAAAAAAGGAGAAGGAGTATGTAGCTTGGTAGAGTGCTTGCCTAGCACACATCAAGCTCTGGGTTCAATCCCCAGCACTGAAAAGAAAGAAGGAGCAAGCAGGCATGGTGGTGCATGCCTCTAATCCTAGCACTGGGAGCTAGAGACAGGAGTCAAGGTCATCGCTGGTACATAGTGTGAGGCTCCAGCCTGGGACATAGGATACCCTATCTAAAAAGACAAGGAAGAAAGAAAGAAAATTAAAGAATTTCAAAGCAATGTCAACAGAGCAATGAGGCCTAGCATGAGGGTCTTGTCACTGCGCATCCTCTAGTACAGGAAGCCAGCCATCATCCCACGTCTCCCCGTGAGACATGTTGTGAAATGAAGCACGTGGGTTGATAACCAGCCCTGGGTTACACTGCTGGCCTGTGACAGCCGGTTGGAAACAGAGGCCCGCTCCTGGAGCTCGCGATGTGTCTGGTGCTACACAGCACCATGGCACCGGACGGGAGCCTTCATTTTTCTGTTGTAGTTGGGACCGTTGGCCTGATTACTAAAACAGCAAATAGACTAGCTGGCTGAGAAGGCCTGGGTAGTCGTGTCCTTCTGATGCCTTCACTTAAAGTCACAAAGTTCCTGCTCCTCCTTGGAAGGTCCTGCGCCCCATGGACAGGAGGGATAATTAGTGATCACGGCAGTTGAAGAAATGAAAGCCCCTCAGAAGTAGGAGGAGGTTCCCCTTTCATCCCTTTTTGAAGGAATGTGAGGACTTGGGTGGAAAGCTCCCCAGGGTTCCTTGGTATTTCAGTGCTTTGATATCTGGAGGAAGAAGAGAGCAATTAATTGCTATAAATGGCCTGTTCCTATAGGGCTGCGCCGATGATGGGTGGGAGAGTCAGGCAGAATGCTGGCCCTTCATCCCAGCCGTCCTCTAGATGGAGGGGCCCACACAGCAGACTCAGAGCCTGAGCGGTCTGCACTCCCACTGTGTGGGGCTGGGAGGATGGCTCAATGGGTAAAAAGCAGTTGCTATATAGACAGGAGGACCTGAGTTGGAATTCCCAGCACTATATTTAAAAAAAATGGCTACATGTGCTTGTAACTCCTTGGGGCTAGGGGTGGGCAGAGATAGGCAGTTCCTAAGAAATTGCCAGCTAGCCAGCCAGCCTCGTGGTAAGCGTCAGGTTGAGTTAGCGACCCTGTCTCAAAGGAATGAGGCTGAGAATAAGAGGGGGGCACCCTGCATCTTCCCGTCACCTCCACATGCATGTTCAGGTGTGTGTGCACACGCACACACAATGTACACACGCACACACTGTGGGAAGATCCCCTTGTAGAATGTGCTGTCCTCAGCCTCTTGGCAACTTTGTCTACAGAAAGGGAATAAGGAGATATTCCCAGGATGCTTTGTCCTTCCTCCATCTGGCTCAGAAGCCATTGCCCTCAGGCCTGGCAGGGTTGAGCAGGGTTGAGAACCTGGAGGCCACTCAAGGCATGGTGGGATACAGAGGCTCACAAGCTCTCTGTGCCCTAGAGTGTTGCCACTGGTGCACACTTCCACCAGGTTAGCTAGTATACGTTAGCCAGGTGATGGGATTGTTCAGGAAAGGCCAGAGAAGCCGTGTTCTTTGGTTCTTGGAAGAGATGTTCTAGGGGCATAGACTGCAGCCAGGCTAGTCAGTGTGTTATCCTCAGCCATGCCTTCTGTCTATGTGACTCGCATCCGTACCAGGGGTCGGCTGCAGATGTCAACTACACACACAGGTGACACAGCTGGAGCACACAGGAGGCAGACGATGAGGACCTGGCCTTGTTATCTGAGGTGTTTGGTGGGTGGGAGGTCATCTTGTGCAGATTCGAGGGCTTGCCCATCATCTGTCCAGTGAGTCACTCTGGTCCTATGTCTCTAGACAGGGTGGCTAGCCCAGAGGAGGAGGTGTGTGTTATGTGGAACAGGCGGGCCTGCCTCAGCCGGAAATGACAGGCTTGGTGCACACTCAGCACCCTGTCTTGGAGGTGTGGGAGCAGGCTCCCTGGGCCTGCCTGACACACAGGTATTTCTGGACTATGACAGAGCTCGTGGCCACCAGGCTCTGTGCCAGTGGTTCTGTGCCTCTGCGTGGGGGGTGTGCACCAGGTCCTACTGAGCAGCCACTGGGACCTTCTGGCTCCTCCCATGACTGTGTTCTGTTTCCACAGGGTGGCACCTTCTTATTTCTTCTCAGTCGCAGCCTTCCCCTTAGAGTTGAGCATCTGTGTGCCTGAAGTGAATTTCCAGAAGCAGGTAAGGACCTGGGGGAAGGCTCTGTTGTGTGGCTGTGGGACAGTGCTGCTGTGGAGGGAGGGTGGGGGTAGCCCGAAACAACCAGGTTCACCCATCTCGCTGCCTTCCTCCATGGTCCCATGTGATACTTGTTTCTTCCGGTGTCGGGGGTCGTTTTCTTCCTGTGGTTTTCCTTGCACTGCTGGGAGTTGAACCCAGGGCACTGTGCATAGCAATCATGCTCTACCACTGAGCTGCCCTACCTGATGTGTGGATTCTTACAGTCAGTGTCACAGTGCTGCTGATTTTTCAGGCTAAGATTTGAGCAGACTCTGGGCTATACATTTCAATATTTTATTAGTGTGTATGAAATGGGGACAGGGGTGCAGTGACCATGCACATGTGAAGTTGGTTCTCTCTGTCCAACGATACGTGAGTTCTAGGAATTGAACTCAATTTACCAGACTTGTGCAGCAAGTGCCTTTACCTGCTGAGCTGTCTTGATTGCCCTGAGTATTTTCTGTAAACTCTACAAATTATATGATGTTTTCTATCTATATAAACCCTGTGAAAACAGGTATGAATTATATGATGTATTCTGTCTACATAAATCCTGTGAAAATATGTATGCATTTAAAAGTTGCAGGTATTTGTTATTGTGGTGCATTGCAGATGGTGCTCAGGGCCTTGTGCATGCTACCACTGAGCCACATCCCTGGTTTTCATGCCCTTATGGGGTGTGTGTGTGTGTGTGTGTGTGTGTGTGTGTGTGTGTGTGTGTGTGTGTTTGTCTGTCTGTCTGTGTTGCCTGATGTAGTTTGGAAACAGGGTTTTCTGTAGTCTAGGCTGGCCTCAAACTCACTGTGTAGTTGAGGATGACCTTGAATGTCCTGATCCCTCAGCTTCTGCCTCCCAAGTGATGGGATTATAGGCATGTGCCATTATACCTAGCTCCTAAAAAAAAAAAAAAAAAACAAAAAAACAATTGTTTCTATGCTTTAAAATTTTTGACCCAGGCATGGTGGCACAGGCCTTTAATCCCAACACTTGGGAAGCAGAGGCCGGTGGATTTCTGTAAGTTTGAGGACAGCCTGGTCTACAGAGTGAGTTCCAGGACAGTCAGGGCTATGTAGAGAGACCCTATGTCAAAACAACAAATATTTTTGATATAGTTCTCACTTATAGCCCAGGCTGACTTGAAACTCACTGTGTAGCCCAAAGTAGCTCCAAGCTAGAGGAAATCCTCCATGTCTCAGCCTCCTGAGTGATGGGATTACAGATAGGAGTCTGCATGTCCAGCTCTCATGGTGTGTGTTTGTTTTGGAGTTTTGACAGTATGCTGCTGTGTAGCATAAATCTTAAAGAGTCTTATTAACAAAAACAAACCCAGAGCCAGGTATTGGGGTGAGCGCTGAATGATCAGAGAGACAGAACCAGCCACAGCTACCTCACCTTGCCAATTCCTCAGCTGATCCTGTTTCTTCAAACTGTTTCCTCTGAGTCCTCATCCGAATGGATCTCAGCTGAACTGCTACTCAAAAGCCTAAAAGCTTAACCAGCTCTAGTTCCTGGTTTTCACGCTTTACATACCTTTCTGCTTTCTGCCATTACTTCCTGGGATTACACCATGGATCACCATGCCTGGCTGTTTCCAGTGTGGCTTTGAACTCGCAGAGATCCATCTAGAAGACTAGGATTAAAGGCGTGAGTGCCACCATTTTCTGGCCTCTGTATCTAGTGGCTGTTCTGTTCTCTGGCCCCAGATAAGTGTATTAGGGTGTACAATATTTTGGGGAACACAATATCGTCACACTGCTGTCTGTCTGTGGCTGGCCTGGGACTCAGTGTATAGACTGAGCTGTTTCAAGCTTGTGGCATCCTCCTGTCTCTGCTTCCCAAGGGCTGAGATTACAGGTGAGAGCCACCACACCTGGCTTTCCTAGTATTTTTTAACGTGGACAAAATGGAAGGCAAATAGTGGTGACCCTTGTGGCCCTGAAGGACCCATCCTGTGGTCTGGCACAGCTTGAGTTTATTTGACAGTTTTCTAAGCAGATGCAAGACCCCTATAGTTATAAACTGATACTTTTTTTTATAAACATGAGTGTGCAAACAGCATTAGCTTCAGGTTTATAAATAAAAATGAGCACAAGGGGCTATACTTGTACTCAGGGCCACTCAGGCAGGTCGAAGAGAGGCCAGCTTGTCAGGCTTCTTATCAGCACTGATAGAGACCCACATGGGCAGCACTAACCTCCCAGCCTCCGACCACTGCTGGTCACATTCTTGGCTTCTGCACTGCCTCCTAATTCTGAAGTGCCATCAGTTGGTCCTTGGAGGTCTGCAGAGGTTGGGTGGGAATGTGACATCGATGTCTTTGATGTCCCCCACACTTCAGTACTCATCTCAGCTCGTGCTCTTCACAGTTCCCTCCCTGTGGGTCTTGCACAGTGACTGGGACACTTTGCATTGTTCTCTGCTGACCAGCCATGCTTCCTGCAGCGGAGGGACAGGCTGAGAGCCACCGGCTGTCCGGGCGTGCAGTGTCTGCCTGTGTGTCGTGACCCTTGATGTTGCACTGAGTCCGTCAGATGGGATTTTCTGGCGTGGCACCACTTAGACACAACATGTGGTTTGTCACCACAAGATTCAAAACCGCAGACCTCTCCCCTCCCCTTCATTTGCATAATTGACAGCTGCCTGTTGTGTCTTCCCATTTTCCCTTTTCTGGTTGGTTCATCTCTGACTCCCGAGAAATTGTCTTAGTGGAAGGGAAGCGCTGTCCTGTGTTAGGGACGAGGTGTGTGTGGGAACAGTTGAAGCCATCACTGAGATGCATTGTTACTGTTGATTCTTCGATCTGAGCTTGGATGAATAATTAGTATCTAAATTAATTGCAGTTTGAGCTTATGTAATTTAAGCACATTTTAATGGAGACCAGTTCTTGATCCCTACAGGGGAAAATAGGAATCCTCCAGTGACATTAATGTAGTACTTGACAGAATTGTGATGAAAATTTAATAACATACTCCAACAAATCTAAGCACACTGTAATATGCTTGCGGCACACCAGCAGCCATTTGTCTGAGATGATTATGACTTATTCTCTTCAATTATTAATTTTTTCACATTGACACCCTTCCTGCGAATTAGGACAGAATGACATCAGTTAGGACACTTTCTGGAGCATTTGGTCTGGAATGTGAAGGGCAGGGACCTGTGCTCCACTTTCTCTCCCAGCTCCAGCCCTGGGCGTTCCTTCCTGGCCGACAGCAAGGCAGGGTCAGCAAAGCAGAGCTTCGACATCACCAGTGGGTGGAGGCACTCGCCCACCAGAGTTCAGTCCCTAGGGGAGGGCTGACTCCTGAAAGTGGTCCTCTCTGCCCTTCACGTGTGCACCATGGTGAATACTAGATGACAAGAATTTTTAGAAATGCTAAGTCAGGATTCTTCTGAAGTTTAGGAAACAGCTTGTGCCAGGCAAAGTGTGTTAAAGTAAGAATGACTTGGCTCCAGAGACCCGGTTGAGCCCTCCTGCTGCAGACCCCAAGACCTCACAGCAGGACTGAAGACAATAGGGTACGCCAGTCTACGGGATGTGGAGGGGTGGAACTGTGGGACAGCGTTCTGTAATGTAGACCTGGTGGGAAATGACTGCACAGTGACATTCCTCCAGCCGGCACCGACACGGCAGCACTAACCAGACCCCTGTCCGTCCTGGAACACGGCAGCACTAACCAGACCCCTGTCCGTCCTGGAACACGGCAGCACTAACCAGACCCCTGTCCGTCCTGTAGGAGCAGCTCTCTGAGTGAACAGATATGAGTTCCTGGAACCCACTGTGATTGGAGTGTGGTTTGTGAGAGCTTCCCAGGGGACTGACAGAAGGAATTCCCTTGGAAACTTTTGTGTATGGCGGCACCTAGTGGCTGGTCTGTTGCATGTCATGCATCTTTCATAGGGGATGGCCTACTAAAATCTAGCCCTTGAGTACATGACAGAATTGGAAGATTTTGCTCATGGGAACTCTGACTCCCAGCTTGAAGGCTCCATGGAATACTTCCGATGTTTGCTGGAGGTCACAGTGGCTCAGGAGGAAGAGTCCTTTGGGAAAGTAAAATTTGCAGGACTCAGGGTTCGTACTTAAGTCTCTTAATACAATGACATTAGTTTTGAATTGGTAGGAGTACTGTAGAGAGGGGGAATCTCAGACACTAAAGACTGCTCCCCTGTTCCATTCAGCCAGGTGGGCAGTACTTATTAAGAGTCTGCTAGGCACCAGGCTCCAGGAGGACAGGGCAACCCGAGCAGACACAGCAGGAGAAGGAAGAGACAGTAAACAGATGTTCCAAGACACTCAGAAAACCAGGACAGTGAGACAGGGCTGTGTGACAAGAGGTGGAGGCCAAGATGAAGCCAGTTCTGGACTCAGGGGATGGCTACTAATGCAGAGGCTGACAAGCAGAGGAGCAGGGAGAGCTGGGTTGCAGAGAGAACCGGGCTGATCACACTTGGCCTCGTAGGCAACCAGCCAGGACTAGGAAATGTATTTTCAGATATGACTAGCAGGGGTGTGGGGATGTCATCTCTCCTGACCTACGTAGATTGTTCTAGCCACTCTAGGGGAAAGCACAATGGAGGATGTGAGTGGGCTATGAGGCCAAGGTCATAGTAGTCCAGATGGAAGCACCAGGGAGGAGATGTAGGCCACAGCATCCATACTCAAGGTCCAGGCAGAGATCACCATGAAGCCACGTGCAGTCCGTCCCCAGACCATCAGTGCTAGAGGGAGAACAGGGCAAATGAAGGAGAGCTCCCCCAGAATCCTGCTTTCCTGCTGGGCCCTGCAGGAAGTGAGGGCCATCCACAGGTTGATGTGTGCCCTGGAGACTGTACTCGAGGCCACTGTGCCTTTTCCCAGCCCCTGGTTGTTACTTTAGCCCTTTTCTGAGCCCAGGGTTAGTTGAAGGGGGCAGACCATAGAAGAAAGGAGTCTTGGTTCTAGGGCTCCAAGGGTGGATAAGAAGACTCTAGAAGGAGTCCTGTGCTGTGTCAAATATACAGACATGATGTCAGCCCAAGCTGGCCAGGTTTTTAACCTGTTGTGTGGGCTGTCGGGGCGAGGGCCCCAATAGGCTTTTGAGCAGCTGATGAGTAGATACTCAGGAGCTGTTGCCCAGGCTCCGGCACATTCCCGGGTACGCCCTTGGCATGTAGTATTGCCTTGTCCAGCATTTCCCTGTCTTGGACTCATGGGCCACTGGGAGTAGATGGTGTAAGGAGTGTCCTTAGCCTGCCAGCCGGGTTCCCTCATTCCCCGAGTGCAGCTCCTTGGTAGCAGGGCTACTGAGGCTCCACCCCACCAGCTGCTGCGTTATTTCTGACTTGTCCAGGAGTTCAAGTGTGTAACCCAAACCCTAGATCCTGCCTCCTCTCCCCCAGCTCCTTCTGCAGGAGGAGGCTCCGGGCTTCTCTTTCTGGGACTGGCTGTAGCTCAGGCCAGAGACACCTGGACACAGCCGCTGGCCTTCACAGCTATCTTCAGGAGCTACGCTCTAACAGGTGGGGTGGCTTTGTGAGGGTGGCAGTGACAGCCCTACCAGTGCCTTGGCCCCATAGCCCTGGACCAGCCATCCCCATAGAGGGACTCCCTGGTGCCTTTCCCAGTAGCTGGCCTCTTGAGTTCAGTAGGGGCTTTTGCACAAGGTGATGTCACTGCCTTGGGGGCCATCACTGATCTCAGTTTCCTGAGCCAGAGGCCTCAACAAGCCACCTCTGATCAATTCCTTTTACTTCTTATGCATGTTGCCTGCATTGAAAACCTAGAACTCCTGGGGCTTCATGCCTCATCTCTCCTGTGACTCATAACAGAAACCTTGGCTGTTCCCTGCAGCCTCTGCTCTGGAATAAGAGCTCCTCAGCTGTGCTGCCTGGGCCTCAGGTAAAGAGGTATTGAGGACCCACTACTTCTGTGACTTCTGTGCTGTCAGAGATGAGGTCCCTACTGGGGAGGGCCTATTTGAGAAAGGGCCACATCACCTACAGGGTGTCGGTATTAGAGTATATCTCATCCTGGCATTCTCTCCATAACACTCAATTCCCCTCTGCTTGCAGGAGTCCCCAGAGCTGGGCCAGGGGGATGAACCGTGAGGGAGCACCCGGTAAGAGTCCGGAGGAGATGTACATTCAACAGAAGGTCCGCGTGCTGCTCATGCTGAGGAAGATGGGGTCAAATGTGAGTGCCTGAAATGTCAAGCAGCTGGGTACCTGCTGCCCTGAAGGGGGACAGAGCAGCTGCAGCCACCTCCTGGGTCTCCAAGAACTGGGGAGAAGACTGTTGGGCTAGTTCAGGCTCCCCAAGCACAGAGCCCAGCATGTCCAGTTTGGGGGGCATTGCTGAGATAGTCTTTCCACTCCATTGTTGATTTTGAGCCGGGACTCCTTTCCTTTCTGACCCTCACTGACCTCAGAGAGTCTTCTCTCCTGGGAGCAAGTGAGGGGCAGCTTGGCAGGGTGGCCACTGAGGAGGGCAGTAGACAAGCAAGCGCAGGGACATCTTTTGAAAGGGAATGGGGGCATTTGGAATGGCTGATTGGCTGCTTGTGTCTGGCCAGGGCCCGACTTTCATACCTGCTCTACCCCAGAGTAGACAGTGGTCTAGATTCAAAGTGAGTGGTAAGGCATGTGAGCTCAGGGACCTGGTGGTCAGGGTGGAAACAGGTCTGATTGCTGGGAAGCTACAAAGGCCATACCAGGACTAGAGGGCAGGGGGCGAGAGGGGAGGCACATGCTCCCCTCACCACAGCACTCTCGTCTGCAGCTGACCGCCAACGAGGAAGAGTTCCTGCGCACCTACGCGGGGGTGGTCAGCAGCCAGCTCAGTCAGCTGCCGCAGCACTCCATCGACCAGGGTAAGTCAGGGGCCAGGTGCCAGCCAAGCCCTCCCCAGCGCACAGTGGTTCTCCACGAAGCTGAATGGACGATCTGGGGGGTTAGGGAAGAAAAAGGAGGCTATTGTTCCCTTTCATCCACAGGCAGAGGGCCCCCCCCACCCCCCCACCCCCACCCCGGTCTGGTCCATCCCCTTCCGCAGGTAGGAGTCGAGGATCCAACAAGGCAGGTGGTAGATCCCTTCCCAGGCCTGGAGGAAAGAGGAGATAGTCATGTCTGGGGCCTGTGTAACCTCAGAGGGTCCGATTATTGCATTCCTTAACCTTCAGCCTGACCCCTGTCCACTCAGCTCCTAGTTCAGGGACAGTGAGACTGCTCAGTGTGTTCTGATAGCATTGTCCCGTGGGGCACAGCTGTGCAGTGACTGGTGGTTCTGGCACTAGCAGGAAGGGGCAGCTCAAGGGGCCGGATGTCTCCATGTGCCCAAGGGAGTTCTTAGGACCCTCATGGTCAAAAGTCCCGTGTGTGTTTACTGGGCAACAGGGGCTGTGCCCAGGAATCCGTATACATCATTTGAGAGTTGACCGCTGTTACTTGTGTTAGTTCCGGTTAGCAGGCAGGGGTTTGGAAGCAGTAACTCATTGCCCTTGACTACACAGAGGTGCCCAGGAGTCAGACCTGCTCCTCACCGACAAGGCTGCTGGGCAGCTCCATGTCCCTTGGCTGCTTATGGAGGCTCTCCCTCTCTGAAAGCTCGGCCTGACACTGTAACAGCGTTCTGAGCAGCATCTCCTCATGCTCCTTCTCTGTTGTTCTTCTCACGCTTTGTTGGGACTTTTGGCTAGAAGATACTTTAGTGGCCCATGGCAAGTCCAGGCAGGGGCAGCCACCACAGCAGAGTATGTTTGCTGTGTTGAGGCTGCTGACGGGGACGAGGAGCCAGTCCAGCACATTGGACTGCCACCCTGGTTATCCTGCATGTTGTGGGCTCGGCCCTGATTCAGGGCCGCTTCCACAGCACTGGTGCTGGATGTGGTCCAGCCAGCTCAGCAGAAATCTTCCAGGGAACCTCTGCTAACTCAGAGCAATTTGGGACCGTAAACGTCTCATACATAGCCTGCCCAGATGTGCCTGCTCAAGTGTGCTGTGTGCTAACAAGCACCAAGGCCAAGTGTGTGTACAGTCCATCCTACATTTTCACTGTCTCTTGGATGAGTCCTTTCCTTCACTGTGGCTGGTCTGGATTTCCCTCTCCTAGCTTTGAAGTCATGTTTACCAGAAAACTTCAGACTTCTGAGTTCCCAGAACATACTTGCCTCCCATATGATTCTGAGTTACTGAGTTTCTGAGTCTTCAGTACAAATGTCCCTAGTGGCATGCCCTTAATAAGAAAAGTAAAGAAGCTGTGGGTCTGTGTCAGAATAGGCAACACCCACCACATGTCCACTGCCTCATACATTCAATCACGTATGTATATAGAAAAGCCAATGGGATACATACTGAGCTGTTAATAGGAAAAATGGTTATGTGGTATTGCAGATCAGTCTTGGGGCTTCATGCATGTTAAACTGTGCTCTACCGCTGGCCTGCACCCCTTGATAGAATATAGTGACTGGATGTAGGTTTTCATAATGGACTTTCACTTTCCAAGTTAGCAAGTTATGTAAAATGTTTTTTGTATGTTGCCCATGCTTTTATAATAAGAAGTGAAAAATACATTTTGTGGAAGCAGGGATCAAAACTAGGGACTTGCACATGCTAGATAGGCACTCTACTATTGAGTTATAGCCACTTGCCCTTAAGAAGGTAAATAGTGGCCCAGAGAGATGGCCCAGCAGAACAAGTACGGCTCTTGCAGAGGACCTGAGTTCAGCTCCCAGCACCCGTATCAGAGAACTCAGAACACCTGTAACTCCAGGGTAATCTGACATCTCTGCTCTCCATAGGCACCTGCACTCATATACACAGACCCACACATACACATAATTAAAAAGATAATAAGACAAATACATTTTTAAAGTTACATTATTTAGCCTGACATGTTGGTGCACAGTTTAATCCTAGCAAGAGTTCAAGGCCAGCCTGGGATCTATGAGACTCTATTTTAATAAACCATATATATTTCATACACACACACACACACACACACACACACACACACAAACTCATGTTGCTGAAGCAACAATTGAGAGTACAGTATAGTTCGCTAAGTTGCTGAAGAAGGTCACAGTTAAGGTTGAGGATGTAGCTCAATGGTAGAGTGCTTGCCTAGCTTCCATGGACCCTTAGGTTCCGTCCCCAACACCAAATAAATGGGTGGTAGCACACCCCTGTGACCCAGCTCTTGGGAGGCAAAGCAGAAGGATTAGTTAAAGTCATTCTTGACTACATAGTGAGTTTGAGGTTGGCCTGGGCTCTGTGAGACTGTCTCAAAAAAAAAAAAAGAGGTCATCACAGTGACCTCACTGTTGCCCTGTGTTGCCCTGGCCCCACAACTGCCGACTCAGCCAGAAGCAGCTGTGGGCAGGTGGGTGTGGCCATCCATAGACACTCTGGAATCTGGGGCCTCCTGGGTGTGTGGCATCTATAGAAACTCGCGTTTCCTGAACTGGGGAAGAATCGTATCAGACAAAGGACGTAGAGGATCTGTACTGCTGATGCCCCTGTGGACTGCCCTTACCTCTGGAAGTCACACCACCTGGACCAAATGCTTCTTCAGGAGGCTCTTGGGATCTCAAGGACTGTGAATTGGGGTCAGAAGGCACCCAAACGTGGAAGATCTCCTCAAACCTTCTTTTATTTTCTATGTCACAAACCACATACAAACACCTATTAAGAGAACCCAATCTAGTATATAGTCTAGGTCAGGAGCTTGTATTTCCGTCTATCCTGGGAGGCTGAGTGGATCTCCAGTAAAATTCTAACCTACCCCCTTCTCCATTGGCAGAGCTGACCTCAGTTCATGCACCAAGGTGTCCTGCTCTCTGCCTAGGTGGCCAAAACCTGGACATGGGCATGGGTGTGTGTGTGTGTGTGTGTGTGAGCGATCTGCCACCTTCTGTCCACTAGGTGGCTCTGTCTCTCAGCAGATGGCAGGGCTCCACCCTAGGGTTCCCCAAGCTTGAGAAGACTTCCAGCAACTTCCTTTGGACTGTCCCTCTAGCCAGAGGTCCTGAGGCAGACCCACCCAAAGGACAGCACTCAGCCTCTGTTCCCAGCCCCCTGGGAACCCAGCTGCCATCTAGCTACACTGTTGCCCACTGGGGTGGGAGTTGGGGGCTGGTACCTGAGTGGTTCTCTACCCACAATCTAGCTGTGCTTATAGAGAATGGGCATTTGCTGGGAAAGACCCTGGGGCAGAAAACTGCACCTAAGCACTGACCACATGGTCTCAGCAGGGGCCTGGTGGCCTCCAATACTGTACAGCAGCAGCCCCTCCTAATTCTCAGCCTGGCTGGTCTCTACTAAGTAAAGATCACTATAGCTTCCTCCTTCCTCTCCTTCGTCCTCAGTGCTCCCCTCCCTCCTCTTGTCCTCTCCAGTGTATTGGTGCCTCTAGATTCAGTCTTCCCCCTACCCCTTCCCTCTCTACCCTATTTCACATGACTTCCATAGGCCTCAGGTCAATACCTTCCAAATATACCCTTAGCCCAGACCCCGCTCCAAATCCCCAGAGCTTCATCTGACTGTCTTGACACAGCCCCTGCCCTACACGCTCAGCAGGTCCAACTGGGTTCCTCCTTTCCAGACCGGCTTCTCCACCTGGGTTCTCACCAGGTACAGGGGCAGGACACAGCCTTGACTTATTTCCACACTGTGGTTGTTCCTAGGGGCTTTGATCCTCCTGCCTTAATGCTCCCAGAGTGTCCTCGGCCTCTCCTTCTTGTTTGAATTCTTCTCTTAGGTTTTTGTTGTTGTTGTTGTTGTTGTTTAAGATTAATTTATTTTTATTTTCTGTGTGTGTACATGGATGGATAGATGTACACCATATGCCTGCAGTACCCACAGAGACCAGAAGAGGGCATCGGATACCCTGGAACTAGAGTTACAGATGATTGTGAGCCACCATGCATGTGTGCTGGGAACTAAATGCAGGGCCTCTGCAGGAGCAGCCAGTGCTCTTAACCTCTGAGCCATCTCTCCAGTCCCAGTTGTCAAGGGCTTTTTGTGTGTTCGAGACAGGGTCTTATCTTGAACTTATTTTGTAGCTGAGAATGATCTTAAACTTTTAAAAAAATTTTCCATTTATTTATGTGTGTGTGTTGCCTGCCATGACACCCATGTGGAGACAGAGGATCAGGAGTCAGTTTTTTCCTTCTTATATGTGGGCTCCAGAGATTGAACTCAGGTTCTCAAGCTTGGCAGCAGGTGCCTTTCCCTGCTGAACCATTGTGCCCACCCAATTTGAACATTTTTAGAGCTGGGATTATTTTGATATGCACCACCATGTTGTTGAGGATCAAATCCAGAGATTTGTGCATGGTAGGCAAACACCCTACCAATTGGTCACTCCCCATCCCAGCTAGCTCAGTCATGTTTTTAAAATAAGCTACAGCTTAATTTATTTTTGTGTGTATGTTTTCTTTGTATGTATGTGTGTGCCTGGTGCCTGCAGAGGCTGGTAGTAGGCGCCAGATCCTAAGATCCTATGGAACTGTAGTTATGGATAGTTTTAAGCTGCCATGAGGGTGCTGGGAATCAAATCCAGGTGTCCTCTCCAAGAGCGGCAAGTGATCTTAGGCAGTGAACCGTCTGTCCAGCTACCTTTTAACTCAGTTTTTACAGAGAGGTCCTAAGTGGCATTTTCAAGACAAGGTTTCTCTGTGCAGCTATCCTGACTGTCTTGGAATTCACTGTGGTAGACCAGGCTAGCCTCAGACTCACAGTCTCTGCCTGCCTAGTGCTGGGATTAAAGGTGTGCGCCGCCGCCTGGCTCCTCACTGGCACCTTGACTGATCTCAGTCTTCTGGTTCACTCTCCACTCCCATAGCCAGAGTGACTTTTGAAGGTTCAGAAGAAA